TATTTGAGATATAACAGCTAAGAATTTTCCCCAATATGGTAAACAGCATCAGCCACAAATCTAAGAAACTTAACAAAGCCCAAGCAGAATAAATGTAAAGACAAGTATACCTAAACACATCACACTCGAACTGGTGAGCGCCAGAAAAAAACAGAGTATCTTGCAAGCGGCCAAAAGAAAAAGATTCCTTTCCTTCAGGGAAAAACAATAAAAGTGAAGACTCATTTCTTAACAGAAACCACAGAAGTGAGATAAAAACAGAACGTCATCTTTAACATACTTACGGAAAAAAGAAGCCCTAGAATTCTACCCCAGGAAAAACATTTTTCAAAACAAAGGTCAAAAGGCGTATAGAGACAAATAAAAGCTGCAAGAATTCACCGCAATATACTGTATACTGTTCTTGGAACATATTGAGGTGGTATAACATTAATTCCAGGTGATTAGTATATAAGCTATAATCCCTACAGAAGCCACTTAAAAAATATACCACCTCATCACAAAAAGGGAGATGTGGCTATATTTATATTACCAGAGATAAAGAGGAGTATTCCAAAATGACAGAAGGGTAAGTCTGCCAGGAAGACCGAACAATCATAAATGTGCATGTGCTCAACACAGCTTCAAATTACATTAAGCAACAGCTGACAGAACCAGAGCAACGGATGGACAAATCCACACTGATACTATCCATCAAGGAAGCATCACAATGGAATGAAGATATTTTCAGAAACGTAAAGCCTAAAAAAATGCTCTCCCATAGCCTTTCTTAAGAAGATACTAAAAAATGTACACCAATAAAACAACAGTGACCCCAAAAAAGACAAAGACGTGGGAAGAGGCAAACAAAAGATCGATACCAGAGCTGAAGGAAATCCCCAGGAGTCTGAAAGAGACTGCAGGGTGGCAGGGATGTCCACTGATACCAAACTGCTTGTCGTACATGGGAACAGCGCAACTCAAAAGCAGGCATTTTGAGGCCCGTCATACACAAAAAGCCTACTGCCACTGTACCACCTTTTTAACCCGAGGGCAGAATGCCTGGGTGAGCCTGGCCCAGTTTCTTATTTGCACTCAGTCTGACTTGTTTTCAACGTGTGCTGGTGACATCTCCTACTTCTACCTTCCACACCAGGCTACCCTGCATCAGACGACACTCCACCTTACAAAAGCGTCCTGCTTTGATGGACTCCTCACAGTTGGCAGTTACCACTAGGCTAAGAAGCAGCGAATACAGGCAACCACCTGGTTTAATTCTATTTCTACCAGACATTCAATACCTGATTCACGCTTTGACCCTGCCAGATACCCCAACCATGTAAGCCCTATGTTTTCCTATGTTTCTCATGACCTTGCCAATGACTTCTCCAAATGGAATTTTTGGAAATTCTCAGAAAAGTTGAAGCCAGACTGACTCAGAGACTGTATTCAGCTCATCTTCTCCTAGAAACCTTTATCCAATACCAGCAAAATTGCAGGACACGACCAGACTTATGCTTATTGGATAACTTTTGACACACTGCTTCCCCAGTAAGGCTGTATCATTTTAGACTATCACCGATAATGCATGCGTGGTTTCATCTCTCTTTGGTTAATACTGGCTAATAAAACTTTAAAATAAACAGCGATTAAAACAGAACAAAACAAAACCCAAGTCTTGACAAAAGGGAACATGGGTGCATATAAGGACATCTTAAATCTTAGGGTCTGGAAGCAAAAGAAAAAAGAACTCCATCAATCAGAAAGAAAATTATGCAACACAAGGCAATATAAACTCCAGTTACAGTTTCTCAAAACTAAATTTTATGTTGATGAGGCATATATGTAGATAAGTGGTAAAATCTTTAAGAAAAGCAGGGGAGGGGCACCTAGGTGGCTCAGTCAGTTAAGCATCCAACTGTTAATTTTGGCTCAGGTCACAATCTCACAGTTTGTGGGATCAAGCCCCACATCAGTCTCTGTGCTATCAGCACAGAGTCTCTCTCTCTCTGTCCCTCCCCTGCTTGCTCTCTCTCAAAATAAATAAACTTTAAAAAAAAAAAAAAGAAAAGAAAGAGGGGCGCCTGGGTGGCTCAGTTGGTTGAACATCTGACTTTGGCTCAGGTCATGATCTTACGGTCTGTAGGTTCGAGCCCCACATCAGGCTCTGTGACAGCTCAGAACCTGGGGTCTGCTTCTGATTCTGTGTCTCCCTCTCTCTCTGCCCCTCCCCCACTCATACTCTCTCAAAAATGAATAAAAAAACATTTTAAAAAAATTAAAAAAAAAAAGAAAAGCAGGGGAGTAACTGACAAAAATGTCAAGATAGAGGATACCTACTAGGATGATTCAATGGGAGAATGTATCATCAAGAACAGAGAATGTTCTAATTTCTTTTAAATGTTTCTTTAGTTTTGAGACACAGACAGACAATGTGAGCAGTAGAGGGCAGAGAGAGAGGGAGACACAGAATCCAAAGTAGGCTCCAGGCTCTGAGCTGTTAGTACAGAGCCTGATGCAGGGCTTGAACTCACGAACCACGAGATCATGACCTGAGCCAAAGTGAAACGCTTAACGACTGAGCCACCCAGGCGCCCCGAGAATGTTCTAGTTCTTAACTTGGGTAAGGTACATGGGTGCCCATTTTCTTATTATTCTTTAATGCACACATATTTGTTATATATATTCTTATGATGCACATAAAAGTATTACAATGCTTTATATACTCTCTGTTCATTACACAATAAAATAATAAGGAAACTCTAAGTTTTTTTATGGAAAGACTTCAGATATGTTACTGAGTGATAAAAATACAAAATTGAGAGAATGAAAAGACAAGGCACAGATGGGGAGAAAATCTTTGCAAAACACATACCTGATAAAGGATTGGTATCCCAAATATATATAAGAATTCTTAAAAATCAACAATATGAAAACAACCTGATTTAAAAATGGGTTAAAGACCTTACTACACACCTCTTCAGTGAAAATACAGAGATGGAAAATAAACATATGAAAAGATACTCAACATCGTGTCATTAAGGAACTATAAATTACAATGAAATACTGCTGCACACCTATGAGAATGGCCAGAATCGACCACACCGACAGCACCAAACGCTGGCAAGGATGTGGAGCAGCAGAACTCTCACTCACTGCCCGTGCGGGTGCCACATGGCACAGCCACCCTGAAAGACATTTTGGCAGTGTCTCACAAAACCAAACCTACTCCTACCATACGATCTAGCAGTTACGCTCCTTAGTACCTACCCAAATAAGTGATTTTATCTGCACACAAAACCCTGCACGTGAATGTTTGTAGCAGCTTTATCCATAATTGTCAAAACTCGGAAGCAGCCATTCAATAGGTGAGTGGATAAATAAATGGTGGTACATCCACACAACAGAATATTATTCAATGGTAAAAAAAGATGAGCTATCAAGCCATGAAATGATATACAAGAACCTCAAATGCATATTTCTAAGTGAAAAAAACTAATGGTTACACACTGTATGACTCCAGCTATATGACATTCTGGAAAAGGCAAACCTATGCAAACAGTTAAAATGATCACCAATTTCCAGAGGCTCAGGGAGGTGGGGGCTGAGGGGGTGGGGCGGGAAGGATGAATAGATGAGGCACAGGGGATTTTTAGAGCAGGAAACTATACTGTATGAAACTTCAATGGTGGGTACGTGTCATTATGTATCTGTCAAAATCCACAGAACATACAACACCAAGAATAAAACCTAATGTAAGCTACAGATTTTAAAGGATTCATATTGGCTCATGAACAGTAGCAGGTGTACCACATTAATGCAAGATGTTAATAACAGGGTAAACTGTGTGTGTGGAAGGAATGAAGGAATACACAAAAACCCTGTACTTTTCACTCACATCTTCTATAAACTCAAACTGCTCTAAAAAATGAAGTCTATTAATTAAAAACAAAACACATATAAACAAATCAGCATGATTAATATGCTTCCTATAATAACCTGTATTTGTACTCATGTAAATATGTACATATAAACTCTGAAAAGCTACTCAAGTGGGGAGTCTGGGTGACTCAGTTGGTTAAGCGTCTGACTTCAGCTCAGGTCATGATCTCACAGTTTGTGAGTTCGAGTCCCACATCAGGCTCTGTGCTGACAGTGCAGATCCTGCTTCGGATCCTATGTCTTCCTCTCTCTGTCTCTTCCCAGCTCGTACGCACGGGCACGCACGCACACACTCTCTCTCTCAAAAATAAACAAACATTAAAAAAATAATAAAAAGTCTGGGGCGCCTGGGTGGCCCAGTCAGTTGAGTGTCTGACTTCGGCTCAGGTCATGATCTCACAGTTCGTGAGTTCGAGCCCTGCGTCAGGCTCTGTGCTGACAGCTCAGAGCCTGGAGCCTACTTCAGATTCTTTGTCTCCCTCTCCCTTGGCTCCTCCTCTGCTCACATGCTGTCTCTCTCTTTCTCAAAAACAAATAAAGATTAAAAAATAATTTTAAAAAATAATAAAAAGTAAATAAAAAAGAAAGCTACTCATGAAAGTAATGACAGTAAAGCTACTCATGAAAGCTACTCATGAAAGTAATGGTATTGTGGAGGTCTGGGGGGAGAATTTAAATACACACCCAGATATTTACTGAGTTTTTTGGCATCCTGCTAATTTGACTGAAAAAATAAGATACACACAAAATCCTGCATTTGCAGTGAAGAATCCTATACAAAATAACCAGAGTCAAACTGATAAACCCATGGTTTCTGGGGATGTTGTCCAAAACACCATCTGTATGAAGGTCCATAAAATTTACTCAGACCTGATATCAGAGAACGAAGGAGATGCCACTCATAATCAATTCAAGACAATTAACTTGGTTTGCTTTTTGGCTGCTGGTATTGATCAATTATTCTTACTACATTTTCCTTAAGTTTTGCTCATCTCTGCCTTTATGTTTCATTTTCTGGGTCCTTATAAACTTCCTCAAATGCACTGAAAAAACAAAACTAGGAAAAACAATCAACTCACCTGGGATTTGTTCATTTTTTGTAGTTTTGGGGTAAAGGCTGAGAACTATGAAGGCCGAACTGAAAGAAAAAGGAAGATACTGTTATTAATGATGTGACCTGCTTTGGATCTCCTACAATGACTTATTTACAAATCCTTACACATCATTTGGGAAAACACCACCTACTGGGAGAGTCCCTTGCCCTCTTCAGAAGGGACCTAAACAATCATGGTGGCAACACTTACCTTCAATCAAACATTATGAGACACCAGAAAAGGCCAAACTAAGACAACCCACTATCAAGAGACAAAGCAATCAACACAAACTTCAACTGATGATTATCAGACAGGGAATTTAAAATAACTATGATTCATATTTTAGAAGCTTTAATGGAAAAGGCGGACAACATAAATAAATGGGAAATTTCAGAAAAGATGAAAACTGCAAGAAAAAATCAAATGGAAAAGAAAGCAAGAAATTACCCAAAATGAAACATAAAAACAAAGTAGAATGAAAAATTAAATAGAGAATCCAAAGACTATAGTTCAATATCAAATGGCCTGACAAACATGTCATTGGAATCCCAAAAAGACAATCAAGAATGGGACAGAAGAGGTATTTGAAGACATAATGACTGAGGATTTTTAAAAAATAATGATATCAAACTATAGCTCTAAGAAACTCAAATAGTTTATCTAAACTGAATAAATACCAAACCAAACAAATATGTAAGACATCATATTCAAACCACTGAAAACCAAGGTTAAATAAAAAGTCTGGAAAGTAGCCAGAGGGAAAAATGACACATTATACAGAGGAACTACATAAAGAATCACAGTCAATTTCTCATCAAAAACTATGCAAGCCAGAAGACAATGCAGTGACATCTTTAAAGTATGTATGTATGTATGTATTTAATTTATTTTTGAGAGTGTGTCATAGCAAGAGCAGAGGAGGGACAGGGAGAGAGGAAGACAGATAATGCCAAGCAGGCTCCATGCTGTCAGTGCAGAGCCCAGTGCAGGGCTCAAACTCATGATCTGTGAGATCACGACCTGAGCCAAAATCAAGAGTTGGCCACTCAAATGACTGAGCCACCGAGGCACCCCTATTTTTTATTTATTTTTTTAAGTTTATTTCTTTGAGAGAGAGAGAGAGAGAGAGAGAGAGAGAGAGAGAGAGAGAGAGAGAACGAACAAGCAGGGAAGGGCCAGAAAGAATTCCAAGTAGCCTCTTCACTGTCATCAGAGAGCCCAATGCAGGACTTGAGCTCACAAACTGCGACCATAACCTGAGCCGAAATCAAGAGTCAGACACTTAACCAACTGAGCCACCCAGGTGCCCCTGAAGTACTTAAAAAAAAAAAAAAAAAAGTGGGGCAACTATCAACCCAGTATTCTATACCCAGCAAACATATCCTTCAAAAAATGAAAGTGAAATCAAAACTTTTTGAACAAAAACAGAGAATTCATTACCAGTAGACTTGTACTAGAAGAAATATTTAAAGTAGTTTTTCAGGTAGAAGGAATATGATACCAGACAAAAACCTGGATCTACACAAGAAATAAAGATCTATGGGAATGCTTAAAATAAAGATGACTCTAAAGAAAACCTTCTTACTTTTAATCACTCTAAAAGACAAATGATTGTCAAAAAATAGCCCGTAAGTTTTGTGGGCTTACGGCATATGTAAAACTACAACATATGATAGTACAAAAGATGGGATGATGAAATTGGAGAGTATATTATTATAAAGATCTTATATTACACATAAAGCAGTAAAATATTACTTAAAGGTCCACTGTGATTAACTCCAGATTTGTATTGTAAATGCCAGGGCAACAACAACAAAAATTTTTAAAGGGGTATAAGTGATAAGCCAATAGTGGAGGAAAAAAATGAAATCATAAAAGTACCAACTAATACAAAAGTAGTTGGAAAAAGAGTTAAATACGAATGAAAACCAACCAGGACAAGTAGAAAAAAAAACTAGCAAGATGGTAGATTTTAATTGAACCATCTTTTTTTTTTTTTTTTTTTTTTAATGTTTATTTACTTTTGAGAGAGACAGAATGCAAGTGGGTTAGGGGCAGAGAGGGAGGGAGACACAGATCTGAAGCAGGATCTAGGCTCCGAGCTGTCAGCACAGAGCCTGATGCTGGGCTCGAACTCATGAGCTGTGAGATCATGACCTGAGCCGAAGTCGGCAGCTCAACCGACTGAGCCACCCAGGGGTCCCATAATTGAACCATCTTAATAACTGGTATAAATACACCAATTAAATGATAAAGGTTGTCAAACTGGATAAAAAAAAGGAAGGCCAACTGCTTTTAACTGTTTATAAGCGGGTTTGTTTAAAATATAAAAACATAGCTACATCAAAAGTAAAGGGATGAAAAAAAAGATATGCATTGCAAACACTAACCAAAATAGAGTGATTATATTAATATCAAAGTAAACTTCAGAATAATATTACCAGAAATAGAGTGATATTACATAATGTCACTGTGATAAACAACACCTGGTGAATGTGTCAAACGGCCAGAAGGCATAACAATCCTAAATGTATATGTACCTAACAAAAGCATTTCAAAATACAATAAGCAAAAATTGACAGAACTGAAAGAAAAAAAAAAAACAGATAAATTCACAATTATAGTTGGAGACATCAATACTCTTTTCTCAGTGACAAAACAGGTAGATAGAAAACCAGTAAGGATATAGAAGAATGGAACCACGCTATCAACCACCCTGACTCATTTTGTATTTACAGAAGACTCCACCACCAGCAGCACAATAGTCATTAAATTATATATTAAAAATTCCCAAGATAGATCATATTCTTGGCCACAAAACAAACCTTTCATTCTAAAGTGAAATTTGTAACAAAGTGTATTCTTTGATGAAAATAGACTTAAACTAGAAATCAATTACTAGAAAGAGATCTGTTAATTCCTTCTTTCCAAATACTTGGAAATTAAACAACAAATTTCTAAATAACCAAGGGTTGAAAAAGGAAGTCACAAGTTTAAAAAACCCATAGAACTGAATAGAAATGAAAGCACAACATACCAAAATTTGAGGGATATAACTAAAGTAGTATTATGGCATTAAATTATTACCTATATTAACTGTAACTACAGTTATAGCATTAAACTGTATTAGAAAAGAAAGATTTTAATCAATTACCGCAGTTTACACCTTAAGAAAGCAGAAAAAAAATTAATTAGTTAAACCCAAATAAAGCATAAGGAACTAATAAAGTTAAGCACAGAAATCCATAAAACTCAAAACAGGGGGGTACCTGGCTGGTTCAGCAGGTTGAGCATCTGACTCTTGATTTCAGCTCAGGTCATGATCTCACAATTTGTGAGTTTGAGCCCTACTTGGGGCTCTGCGCTGACAGGGTGGAGCCTGTTGGGATTCTCTCTCTCCCCCACCCCAGCCATGCACTCTCATACTCTGTCTCTCAAGATAAACAAATAAACATTTAAAAAATCCCTCAAAACAGAAAAACAATGGAGAAATTCCATAAAACCAAAACCTGGTTATTTGAAAAGATCAATAATATTGATAAACCTCTAGCCATACTGACCAAAAGGGAAAAAAAAAAGGAGGGCATTAATTACCATTATCAAAAATGATGGAGGAGACACTACTACAGATGCTACAGATATTAAAGAGTTATTCTTTAATAATAAAAATAGAGGGACACCCAGGTGGCTCAGTCGGTTAAGCCTGGTGTGGGACCTGATTGTGGCTCAGGTCATGATCTCCCAGTTAGTGTGGGTTAGTGAGTTCAAGTCCTGTGTCTGGCTCTGCGCTGACAGGGCAGAGCCTGGGTAGGATTTCTCTTTCTCTCTCTCTCTCTGCCCCTCCCCTGCTCACGCTGTCTCTGTCTCTCTCAAAATAAATAAACTTAAAAACATTTTTTTAAATAATAGATAACCATTAGCTATGCTAATTAAGGAGACAAAAACAAAAAGGGGGAGAAATCCCAAATATACAAAATAAGAACAGTGGAAAATATCAACAAATACAAGAGAAAAAATATGAAATGATGGAAAAATGATTTCATTTTCAACAATACACTACATAAGGATAAAGAAAAATGATAACCTTTTTTTTAAATGACAAACTTCTGTAAAGATGATAAAGCGCACTTAAGAGAGACAAAACAAAACAGGGCTTGAACACTGGGATGGCGTACAATATGATCCAACATCATAAAGGTGTCCATTCTCCCTAATTAAATGCAGCCATTAATCGGATAATAAAAGTATTGGCAGATTTTTAATGCAAATAATTCTAAAGTACCAGTGGAAATCATAAATCAACTTGCGTAATCTCAAAGTGGTAAAAGGCTTCTGAGTGCCATAAAAGACCAGAGCAGTAAATTCAACTACAAATTAATTCAAAACGCCTGCAAGGCAAAACTATCAGGGAACAAAATCAAAAGGAAAATGAAAAAACATGTGCCACTTACACAAAATACCGGGAGGCTCGGGTACTCCACCCATCTGAGCCTCCGGTTTTTCCTTCAGTTGCAACTGAGATACTAGCGACGTCACATGCTAGGTGTGAGGATTAGAGGAACACTTAGCCGAAAAGGCTTTCGCAAAGAGGTCGGAGGTCTCCTCTGGTACGCCGCATGCATCAGGAAACTTGCTGGGGCTTTCATTCCTCCCTGCACCAGGTGATGCTCGGGCACTCAGCACGCGGCTTCCGGGCGCCGCCAGGTGTGTGCGGCCCCGCCCCCGGCCTCGCCCCGCGCCCGCGGGGCCTGGTCACGCGCGCACCCGCCCGGGCTTCCGGACTCGCTCCCGCGCGACAGGAGACGCTGGCGGCCGGTCGGAGGCGCTTCTCCTGACAAAGGGAGGAAGACGAGCCCTCGCCGCCGCCCTCCCTCCCCGCCGTCTCCGCCCCCACACGTCCGGCCAGGCGGGCCCCGCCAGCCCCGTGCGGAGGACGGCGCGGGGCGGCCCCGGACACCGCCCCGAGGGTCACCGACGTCTGCAAGTCGCTGAAGTTTGGGCTCCCACCCTGCGCGGACAGGAGCCCATCCCTCATCTCCTCCTCCGCGGCCCCCAGCCCTCGCGTAGCTGCATGGCAGCCCCCCTTCATACCTGGAGGGGCACAGCCTCCACTTGTGGCTCAGTGCCAAGCCAGGTCACGGCGCCGGTCAGCGAAGATGCGCGGAGACCGGGGCCCTGTCACCCACTCGCGGCAGGAGGTGGGGGAAGGGCAGCCACCGGCGCGCTCGCAGCACTGCACATGCGCAGATGCAAGGGCTGCTAGCCGTCCCAGGGTCCTCTGAGGGGTGGGTCATCCAACCTCGGGACTACACTTCCCATAAGTCTTTGGGGCCCCGCTGTAGGGACTCTCTGGAAAGTCTTCATTTAGTTTAGCGGGTGGCAGGAGGCTAAAATAATCCCTGGCCTGGACTGTCCATTTACCGCAGCAAGGGTTATGGATTACAACCACCTCTTCCCAGATTAAAAAAACCAAACCTGACTTTGAAAGATTACTTAGGTAATCCATGATAATGTATTTAAATTAGAAAATATGTATAAAATAAAAGCAAGTATCTAATTTCTCAAAGATAACCGTATGTAACATTAAGTGCATACGTTTCTCACTTTTTAAAAATCTAATTAACCATGGGGCGCCTGGGTGGCTTAGTCCGTTAAGCGTCAGACTTCAGCTCAGGTCATGATCTCAAGGCCTGTGAGTTCGAGCCCCGCATTGGGCTCTGTGCTGTCAGTTCAGAACCTGGAGCCTTCTTCGGATTGTGTGTCTCCCTCTCTCTCTACCCTTCCCCCACTTACACTCTGTCTCTCAAGATGTGAATAAACGTTAAAAATATTTTTAAAAAATAAAAATAAAATTGATCAGAGGCCCTTGCGGAGCACGTGACTCTTGATCTCGGGGTTAAAGGCTTGAGCCCCTTGTTGGACGTAAAGATTACTTAAAAATAAAATCTTAAAAAATAAAATTTACCCTAAAGATATCATGTGCTGTAACTAGCTTATTTTTTAATTTAAAATTTTTGTTTTAATTTAAGAGAGAGAGAGAGAGTGTGTGTGTGTGTGTGTGTGTGTGTGTGTGTGTGTGTGTGTGTGTGTGTCTGCGCACGCGCGTGTGTGGGCACACGAGCAAGAAGGGGAGGGGCAAGCAGGGGAGGGGCAGAGAGGGAGAGAAAGAGAATCCCAAGCAGTCTCTGCACTGTTAGCGTGGAACTTGACACAGACTCCAACTCATGAATGTGAAATCATGATCCGAGCCAAAATCAAGAGTCAGAAGTTTAACTGACTGTGCCACCCAGGTGCCCCAACTTTTTTGTTTATTTTTAAAAGCAGTTTTATGTTCACAGCAAAATTTGAGGAAAAATTTCATATGCCACCTGCCCCTGCATATACATGGGCTCATCCACTATCAATATTCCCGCCCAGAGTGGTACATTTGTTATAGGGAAATGCACATTGACACATCACCCAAAGTCTATATAGTTTACATTAGGATTTACTCTAATATATAATGACATGTATACACCACCATACATCCCTCCTCCCACTCCCTGAGCCCCTGGAAAACACTGATATTTTTAGGTATGCATAATTTAGAATAGTTGGAATCATATAGTATGTACCTTTTCAGATTAGCTTCTTTCACTTAGAAATATGCATGAGAGGGGCCCCTGGGTGGCTCGGTCAGTTGAGCGTCTGACTTCAGCTTGGTCACGATCTCACGGTTTGTGAGTTTGAGCCCCGCATCAGGCTCTATGCTGACAGCTCGGAACCTGGAGCCTGCTTCAGATTCTGTGTCTCCCTCTCTCTTTCTGACCCTCCCCTGCTCCCATTCTGTATTTCCCTCTCTCTCAAAAATAAATCAACATTAAAAAAAAAAAAAGAAATATGTATTAGATGGGGCACCTGGGTGACTCAGATGGTTGAGCATCCAACTTGGGCTCAGGTCATGATCTTGTGGTCCGTGAGTTCGAGCCCCACATTGGTCTCTGTGCTGACAGTGTGGAGTCTGGAGCCTGTTTCAGATTCTGTGTGTCTCCATCTCTCTCTGTCCCTCCCCCGCTGTGTGCTGTCTCTCTCTGTCTCAAAAATAAGTAAACGTTAAAAAATTTTTTTTATAAAGAAATATTCATTAGAGGTTCCTGCATATCTTTTCATGGCTTGATAGCTCATTTCTTTCTTTCTTTCTTTTTTAAGATTAAAACATTTTTATCTCTACACCAATGTGGAGCTTGAACTCACAATGTGGAGACCAAGAGTCCCATGCTTCACTGACTGAGCCAGCCATGGACCCCGATAGCTCATTTCTTTGCCACTGAATAATATTCTGTTGTGTGGATGTACCACCATTTATTTATCCACTCACCTATTGAATGGCTGCTTCCGAGTTTTGACAATTATGGATAAAGCTGCTACAAACATTCACGTGCAGGGTTTTGTGTGCAGATAAAATCACTTATTTGGGTAGGTACTAAGGAGCGTAACAGCTAGATCGTATGGTAGGAGTAGGTTTGGTTTTGTGAGACACTGCCAAAATGTCTTTCAGGGTGGCTGTGCCATGTGGCACCCGCACGGGCAGTGAGTGAGAGTTCTGCTGCTCCACATCCTTGCCAGCGTTTGGTGCTGTCGGTGTGGTCGATTCTGGCCATTCTCATAGGTGCAGAGTGGTAGCAAGTAGCTTTTTTTTTTTTTAAGTTCATGTATTTGTTTTGAGAGGGGGAGAGAGCACACGAGCAGGGGAGGGGCAGACAGAGAGAGAATCCCAAGCATGGGATTCTGCACCATCAGCTCAGAGTCCAAGGCAGGGCTTGAACCCACGAACCATGAGATCATGACCTGAGCCTAAGTCAAGAGCCAGATGCTTAAGTGACTGAGCCACATGGGCGCCCCACAAGTAACTTTTAATTAAAATAATGGGTAGTCTCATAAAGGTATTGGTACATCAATATTCATAGCAGCATTTGGCTGCTATTCATAACAGTCAAATGGTAGAAAGAACCTAAGTGTCCATCAACGAAAGAATGGACAAGTAGGGACACCTGGCTGGCTCAGTCAGTTGAGCATCCAATTCTTGGTTTCAGGTCTGGTCATGATCTCATGATCGGATTGAGCTCTGCGTCAGAGAGCACTGTCAGCGCAGAGCCTGCTTGGGATTCTGTCTCTCTCCCTCTCTCTGCCCCTCCTCTCTCTCTCTCTCTCTCAAAATAAATAAACTTTTTAAAAAGTTTTTAAAAAAAGAATGGATAAATAAATGTAGTATATACATACATTTGGAATAATATGGAATATTATTCAGCCAAAAAAAAGAATGAAGTTCTGACAGAGGCTGCAATGTGAATGGACACTGAAGATACACCACATGAAACAAGCCCGATACAAAAGGAGCAATGCTGTGTAGTTCCTCTTACATGAAGTATCTAGAATAGACAAGTTCATAAAGAAAGGAGAATAGAGATTACCAGGGACTCAAGGGAGGGAGGCATGGAGGGTTAGCTCACACTGGGCAGGGAGCTTCTGTGCGAGAGAGTGGTGGCAGCTATACCACACTGTGAATATGCTTAAAGCCACGGAATTGTATGCTTAAAAAGGGGTAAAATGGTAAACTTCATGTTATGTATATTTTATCAGAATTAAAAAATTATATACTGGATGGAAGTGATGGATACATAACTCTAAATTCATAAAAATCAAATTCTCTGAAAGGTATTTTTGTTATTTACTATTTGCACTGTTTTGATTATTTTGCTTGTTTGTTTGATGGAATAATATCATACTTCATCAGGAAGAAAAACAGAATATTTGGGACTTTTTTTTAAAAAGACTAATAACTACTAGATATAGAAATACATTACACAAATTAATGAATACCAGTGAGAGACTGGAATACTCATCATTCTTGGACTTCTGCTTAACAATTCAAAGGAAAAAAATGTTTAAAATGTTAGCTCTCAAGACTGCACACTAGATTTATTTGTTTGTTTTTATTTAAATCTAGGTAGTTACCATATACTGTAATATTGGTTTTAGGAGTAGAATTTGGTGATTCATCACCTACATGTAACAACACCCAGTGCTCATCACAACAAGTGCCCTCCTTAATTCCCATCAACCATTTAGCTCCTTCCCCGCCCACCTCCCCTCCAGCAACTCTCATTTGTTCTCTATAGTTAAGAGTCTCTCATGGTTTGCCTTGCTCTCTTTTTAAAAAAAAATTCCTTCCCCTATGTTCATCTGTTTTGTTTCTTATAAAAATAAGAGTGAAATCATATGATATTTGTCTTTCTCTGACTTATTTCCCTTAGCATAATACACTCTAGCTCCATCTACCTCGATGCCAATGACAAGATTTCATTCTTTTTTATGGCTGAGTAACGTTCCACTGTGAGTATGTACCTACACACATACACACCACGTCTTCTTAATCCATTCATCAATTGATGGGCATTTGGGCTCTTTCCATAATTTGGCTATTGTGAATAGTGCTGCTATAAACATCGGAGTGTATGCATGATGTACCCCTTCGATTCAGTATTTTTGTATACTTTGGGTAAACACCTAGTAGTGCAAATGCTGGGTCGTAGGGTAGTTCTATTTTTAACTTTTTTGAGGAACCTCCATTCTGTTTTCCCGAGTGGCTGTGGATTCAAGATTTAAATTTTAAAGTGGAAGCCATCAAGGTTTTAAAGACATGATGGGGGAGGAGGAGTGCATCTGGCTGGCTTAGTCAGA